CAGGGAGGTGCAGGAGGGTGCCACTGTGGATGCAAAGAGAGGTGGGAAGAGGGACCTTCAAAGGAAATGGAAACTTGGGCAAGAGGACAAAAGGGTTTACCAGAAAGAGGTGGCACAATGCAGAACGATTCTTCACAAGGCTAAGGCAGATTATGAGCTGAGACTTGTGAAGAAAGTCAAAAGCAACAAAAAGGGCTTCTATCTTCATGTAAGTAGGAAGAGGAAGGGGAGACAGGTAGTGGGACTGCTTAAAAGGGAGGGAGGGGATCTGGTAACTGATGCAAGGGAACAGGCACAGATGTTAGATAATTATTTTGCTTCTGTGTACTTCCCAGAGTGTTGGGGGCGTTCTACCTGGGGGGCTGGATGAGGTTGGGGTTATGGGGGCACATATTGGAGTCACCTCCCTAGAAGTCAAGGAGCTCCCCAGGGCGCTGGATGTTAGGAAGGTGCTGGACCCTGATGCGTTACACTCAAGGGTACTTCGGGAATTGGCAGAGGTACTCTCTCATCCATTGACCTTCATTTTTGAGGTCTTGTGGAGCACAGGAGAAGTTCTGGAGGAGTGGAAGATGGGATCAGTGGGTCCAATCTTCAAAAAGGGTAGCAGAGGGTATATTGGGAATTACAGGCCAGATAGCCTTACGTCCATTTTGGGAAAGACGATGGAAAGGCTCATAATAGGGAAGACTAGAAACCCTAGATAGGAATGGGAGGTTGGCAGCCACACAGCATGGATTCTGAAAAACAGATCCTGCTACAAAAAACTTGTGGAATTCTATGATAAGGTTGCTAGGTGGCTTGACGGAGAAGATACGGTAGATGTACTTCACCTGGATCTCTGCAAGGCCTTTGACAAATGGCTGCACGATATAGATTGATGCACTGTCCTATGGATTGGGGCATGGTTGATGGATCACAAGCAGAGGGTGACTCTCCAGGAGGAATAATCAGGATGGCAGCTAGGGAAAAGTGGAGTTTCCCAGGGCTTAGTTTTGGGACCAATCCTGTTCAACCTTTTAATCAATGTCATGGAGGAATGGATAACTGCTCTGCTGAGTAGGGGTGGTGGGCATAACTGAGGAGCAGGTGATCCAGATCCAGAAAGACAACACGATGACATTCAATGTGGATCAGTGCAAAGTCTTGCACTTGGGACACAGGAATAGGTGTCACAGGTACAGTATGGGGGACAAGTGGCTGGAGAGCAGCACTTGTGCAAGGGATCTTGAGGTACTTATGCACAGCAGGCTGAACATGAGTCAGCAGTGTGATGCAGCAGTTGAGAAGGCAAATGCCACCCTTGGATTTATAGCTGCCAGATCCAGGCAGGTGTTGATACAGCTCTACACAACTCCTGTTCACCCACAACTGGAGTACTGCATCCAGTTCTGAGCTCCACATCATAGGAGACATAGCTAGGTTAGAATCGGTTCAGTGCAGGGTCACAAGAAAGGTAGCTGGGTTGGGAGGGATGACATATGAGGAGAGATTGAGGGCACTGTCTTTTCAGCCTGGAGAAGAGGAGACTCCGGGGCGATCTTTTGGTGACTTATGTGAGGGGTGTTGTGTGGAGGAGGGCCATGACCTTCCCTGCAGTGGAATGCAGGATGCATTCCAATAGGGCAAAGCTCAAGGAATGAGGTTTCAGGTTGGATGTCAGGAAATGGTTCCTGACGGTTAGGACCCCAAGGATATGGAATGGGCTTCCAAAGTTGGTGGTTGAGGCCCCATCAGTGAGGGTGTTCAAGGAAAGATTGGACAACCACATGTTGGGGATTACATGAGTGGAGCCGGCTGGAGCCAGGGGTTAGAGTAGAAGGTCTAGGAGGCCCCTTCTGACTTGCTTTTTTTCTTATGTTCCTACATTTCTATGTTTATATTAAAAAGTCAGTATGAAGCGAATGAGACAAGTCTATGCATTGGTTGACTTTAAGTAAGTAATTACCTCTCAGTCTTTGTTTCTAACTCAGCTGGAAACCACTTAGTTCTCATGAGAATCAAAATTATACTTTTCAGAAAAACACTATTAGAGAAGTCTTAAATGATGCAAAGCATTTCACCCATGGAAAGTAGCAGATAAATTATTAATGACAGTATGTTTTAACTTGCGTTTCACCTGAAACAAAGCTTACTGGAAGGAAAGATACCCTAAATACAAAAGTATGCTTTTTCAGAATTTATTTCTCATTTAATCCCTTGATCCTCCCTCTGGCCAGTGAGGCTTCAAAATATTTCACACCTAGATGATGCTCACATCACACTGCAAATCTTGTCACTGACTGGGTTCCTGATACAACATGATACATAAACATGAAAGCTGGAGTGGCTTGCTGTGTTGTTTGCACCAAGCAGCATGGTTTGTTAATGAGTCTGGTTTCAGACAATGAAACAGGCCACCCCACTTATTAAACCACCATGGTTTATCATGTTGTAAGAAACCGGTGACTTTATCACATTCTGCACTATAAAAAATTGAAGGTTATCTCAAACTATGGTAAAACCATTTTAGATTTTCAGATTGTCAGCTGTTGTATTTTCATACAGATAGGTACATGTTGCGCCTATGATGTTAAGGGTATATTCTTCCTTATGCCTGAACAGGTTTGATTGTTTTGGCTTTTCTTGTATTTTATTCATTCTTTAGGCTCCCTCGAACTACATAAGGAAAGATAGGATTTATGTACTTCAAATGGAGAAATGAATAAAATAGACATTCAGATCAATTTCACATAGTGCACACCTATAACATTCTGTATCCTCTCAGTTATTAGATTCATAGAATCTAAGAGTTGGAAGGGGCCATGAAGGCAGTCCAGTCGAAACCGCTGCTCCAGCAGGACACCAGGTTATACCATCCCACTCAGATGACTGTCCAGTTTCTTTTGAATGTCTCTACTTTGGGAGAGACCCACCACCTCCTACTTTACAATTTATAAAACACTAAAATGCATAAGCTTTTCTGTTGTTCTACAATTCCTCAAGAAAATGTTAAAATAAATGTTTGCTAATTCCATGAATCCCTGTCACCCATCACGCTGAAGCTTGTAAAATGGTATATTTTGTCTTCTTTCCTGTAAATAGCTAGTATGGATATCTCGTGTGTGAGTGTGTTTCTTTTCATATCTCAGCTAGAGTTGTATGTATATTTTCCCTTTGCTGGAACATAATATTTTAAACTCTACAAGAACAGTATTCACTTGCACTAATCCTGAAACAGGCACAACTGTTCCATAATCTTTTAAGAACACCCCTATGCAAAAACGCTTCTCATCAGTAAAAGATTCTGCAGGTGTCCAATAAGTTTTTAGAAAGCCAAGGCAGCTGACAGTACATGCATCACTCTTCCCTCAAAGGAAAGATTAAGTACTTCCATTTGCTGAAATCTAACAGTAAGTAATTTAAGAATTTATGTTTAAACCCATTACCCTGGAAGTCAGCTAAACCCATGTTTCCATTTTAATCCTATTTTAAACAAAGTTGAAGTATTTTTAACACAGAATAATCTTGTTTTGATCTTTTTTGCATCTGAACCAATATGTTTAATCTGACCAACTGTTAGTCTTGTATAATCCATATCACAACCATGCTGCTGTCATGGTAACCAAATAAAGAGTTGTAACGTGCCCCACTGGTATCAAGAAGTTAAACAGTGAAACCAAGTTTGATTTGGTTAAAATTTTAATTGGGAAAAGAGAATTTATATAGGTAAATATAGATGACTTTTAAGTATGTTGTGTGTGAAGTTATGTTACATGTTACGTATGTTATAACAAAGATTTATAGTTCATTATTAATTGATCAAATCACAACAGTTACAGAAGATGAAATAAATGGTCAGATGAAATAAATGGTCAGTTGTCAATGTTCAACTGTCATGTTTTGTTCCAGTATTCTCCAAAGGAACTTATTTGCCTTTTAAGCCTATCCCAGGTTTTAAGAGGAAAACAATTTCTTAATATATTGTATCAAAGCAACAAAGTCTTGTAGCACCTTAAAAGCTAACAAATTTATTATTACTTTTTACATCAGATGCATTAATTGTTATCCTCACTTGGCAAGTACATTTACATAGGGCTGTAGAAAGGGAAAAATGTTAGCTGTGAAATCAAAAGGTATTAAACATAAGAAATAGAGGTGCTTGCCATTTTATAGGTTAAATGTAAAATGTCAAAGATGTGCTAAAAAGGCAGAACCAGGTAGGTCTCAGAACACTAGGAGCACCTGGGCTAATTGTGTTAATGGTGGCTATGGCTAATAACTCTGGATGGCCTTTCCCATCTGAAGCAAACAGAAATGGCTTCAGTGTTGCCTCTGTATTTATCTTATGCTTGCCTATGGGCCTCATTTAAACATGCAGCAGCCTGAGCTGGTAGAATCCTGACATGGACTGTACCACTTCTGAGACTGCAGGTAGGAGGATGCCATTTTTAACATTTTCCTAGTAAAAACCAAGAACAACCTCTTAGCACACCAATCAGAATCCTCAGCACACACTTCTTCTTGCTGTCTGCTTTTCTACTTGCAGAGAGTTTATCACTCTTTAAATATGAAAAATAGCATTTCCTTCACGCACCCCCACAGTCAGATACCGATGCAATTCACTGTGCCACCTCCAGACTCCACCACCTCAGACTGCTATCAAGTGTAGATGCCGCCTTTGACTGCGTAGGGAGCTGCAGGGAGACCACTGCGCGGACGCACCCGGCAAGAGCAGGAAAGCCTTTCCTCGTCTCCTCTCCCTTTCCCCGTCTCAGCATGGAAGCGGAGGGAGCCACATATAACAGACCTTGGACAGCAGCAGCAGCGAAAGGAAGCTTCTCTCTTTCTGCCGGCACCTGTCGCCGCAGCCCAGCTCCTCTTCCTTTATGCCTCCGACGCGCACAAGGAAGGGGAGGGGGCGTGTAGGACACATCGCGAAAGGACGGAGGCCTCGCCAGGGAATGGATTAAGCACCCAGCCAGGCAATTGGGCGGGGGTGCGTGCAGAGACTCGCCTACCTCGTAGAGCGGCTGGTGACGATGTAGTCGCGCTCGTCCCTCTGCTCAGAGCTGCGCTGGCAAGAGCTGCGCTGGCCGCTTCCCCGGCGGACACTGCAGGAGTTCGGCTGGCCCAGCCACACTCGCTTGGCCCGCTGACTCCACTCCTATCGGTGCTGGTCGGTCGGCGGGTCGGCCAACCCTGTGTGAGGAGCGAGCAGCCGCGCGCGCACTTGACTGCGTTCACAAGACCGCCTAGTGCGAGACCCGCGAAACAAGCCTGTGCTCGGGCGGCTTCACGCTCTTCCCTGTGCTGATTGGTCTTGCCGTGAGAGAAGCGGGGAGGGGTAGCCTGGTGGAGTCCCTAAAAGTAGAGGCGAGGAAGAGGGACTCCGAGCACACGCGCATGCGCAAGATTATGTCCACGACGGTCTCTTCCTGTTTCTCATTCCAAGTTCAGAGCTGCCAATCCAGGCAGGGCTTGTAGTATGGCGGGCTGCCGCGGCGCTCTTCCCTTCTCTCTGGTCTTCCGCTGCCATGGCCGCCGGTGAGGGGAAAAGAAGCTAACGAAAGTGGCGCCGCGGGAGCTGTTAAAGCGTCGCCTTATTGATTTCTTGGTGCGGATGTCTATAATGATGTCCTTGAGCACTTGCACTAATGAACCAGTGGAAAAAACGGAGCCGGGTCCTAAGCTACCTCTACGTTTTCTGGGCGCGTGAAATTTGCCCGCTCTTTTGGCTTTTGGAATATCCAAGCAGCAAAATGAGCATAGAGGACAATGCAGAACCTCCATGGTCACTGTACGTCTGAATATCAGTGGGAGGTGGGGAGGAAGTGATGGTCCGCGCTTGCTATCTCTGGTCTGTTAAACGTAGAACATACGCTATATTTTTACCACGGCGATACATGGTAAAATAAACAGCACCACTGCAGACTAGGTCAAGGGTGCCCAACTCTTCCTGCGCAGGAGCATTTGTGAAGAAGTGGGGAGCACGTTCCAGTAGTGGATGAGACCAGCGTGGCTTAGGTTAAAGCTCTCGCTGCCCTCGCAGTTGCAGTTCAAGCTTTTAGAATAGAATGGGAATGTAGGTTTGTATGACTTTTTTCTGACCAGGTATGACCTTTTTTCTGACTTTTTTCTGATCATCATCTTAAAATTAATTTTGTTAACTTGGTAAGTCAATTACTGTTATGCAATAATAAAAAAGGACAATGTAAGGTCGTAAAAATCAAATGAGTAAATCAAGTGGCAAGTCAGATGTTCATTCAAAACACCCAATATTCCTCTTAGTATAAATTAGTTAAAATTTATTCTAACTGGTGCACCTTTAAAAACCTGTTAAAACAGGTAATTGTTTAATCTTAAACAATCTTAATACATTCTATTTAGGTAGATGCAGCTGTTTGTTTATATATGTGCATTGGTGTGTGCATAGAATAGCTTTTTAAATTCTTTTTGCTATTATTTTGAAAAGCTGCATTTCTCTTGAAAAAGTTATATAATATTTCCCTTCAGGAGGAAAAACACTAATTTTATGCCAATAGATTGGACACTGTCCACAGCTCCGGTGGTTCTGTTTAAAAAAGAGAACATTGTGGAAGTGAAAATCCATAGCAAAATGATGCCATGTATCTCTTACTCCATAAGAAGATATTCTGATCAGGGCTCCAACCAGCTTGGAATAGGAGCCTTATGTTGTTTTGAAGCTCTCAAAGGGCCTTTCTTTCTAAGGCTGAGTGAAATTGTGTCCCCACTTTCTCAGGGCCACTGTTACATAGTGTGAAGGAAGTAGATCGGAAAACATGTCTCTCAAATATAAAAATAGAACCATGGGTCACTACATGAAACTGATGGTAGAAGATTCAGGATAGAAAAAACAAAGTACCTAGTTATGGAATTTGGTACCACAGGTTATCATGATGCCTTCAACCTGGACAGCTTTACCAAGGAATTCAGTAAATTCCATTTTAACATTCCCTCATTCAAATTTTTCTTTTGATACATTTGGTACATTACTTATAAGAATTTAATAAGACAAGTTTGGTTTAATTTGCAATTAGCCTGGAATTGAATCCCAATTTCCTACCAGAGAGCCCATTGATTAGAGAGACTCTATAAAAATTGTTCAAGCCAGCTATCTCTGCTAGCTATCTCCAGCGCTAGCAGGTTCCAATCATCCCTATTCCTTTCAGGTTCTTGCCTGAAGGTAACCTTATGACATGTTTTGTCCACTCATCCTTACAAGCAGGGAAATCCTGTATTTTACTCCTAAAATGCACTCTTAAATGTCTGTCATGTAATTATTACATGTTCCTATTAGCATGTCAGCCACCTTGGAAAGTAACCATAGAATTCATACAAAAGAATTGACATGACTACCCAAATTAAATGTGGTCCTATGCATGCTTGAAACACACTACTTCAAGATTTTTGGCACATTATTTTATTTTATTGTTTGACTAGAACATGGTGGTTGAGGAGGTGAGTGGGTCTGACAGTCCCTGGATTGTGATACTGCTGGTGAAAATGCTTCCTGACAGCATAGGGGCAGTGTATAGACATATACCTTCCTGCACGTTTTGAGATACAGTGGGAGGTTAGGGCTGTTCCAATCTGCAATATTTTCCTACAATGATGGTGGCCTCTTCTGTAGGCCTCTCCAAGTCTGTGTACCACCAACATTGTCATTTTTGCTTGCAGTGCATCCATATGCACTTAAATCACTCAGAGTGGATTGTTGGGAAGTCATAGGATTATGTAGCGTTTCAAGCTCTGAGATCCTGTGTTCTCAGAGCTGGAACTCCAAAGACTGTGTTCCTGCCTTGTAGCTGCCGTAGATGGAACAATGCCAGCTCCTCTCTTCCTTAAATCACAACTTAGCCTAGGAGAAGGCAAAAAGGGGATTGCCAGTGCGGATGGCTAAAAATAGCCATCTAAAAACGAAAAAATCATGGCTGGAGGTGTGACAGTAGCAGAGGCTGCTGCAGTACCTCATTCCATGGATAAGATGCACAAAAATCTCTGAATTCAGGGAATGATGAGCCAATCTTCCTATTACAGTTACCGGATATATTAATTTTATGTAATAAATGAATTAAATTATTCAGTCCTAGCTAGATGACACTAATAGAGCCAAATAGATATAATTTACTTTTATTTCTTTCATGTAATATTCTTCATTTTACATAAATGCAAGAATTATAGTATATATACTTGTATTAATCTATTTCAGAATCACAGGCCTTTTAGAGAGTAAAAACTAGCCTTGGGAGCCTGGATATATTTCCTGCTGAAGAAGGAAATATTTCTGTTCCACATTGATTGGAATAAGCGTGTCATGAGTGGAGCTGGCTGGAGCCAGGAGGCCCCTTCTGACTCGCCCTGTTTCTATGTTTCTATGATTGCATTTCCTTGTAATGATTAGAATTCCCTGAGTCCCCACGTCCCAGTGGCTGGACTTTCCCATCCTGCTTCCCTTGACATCCAAATCCTAGGGCCAGACACTGGATTCAGCACAAGAATCACCCAAGCTTGGGGGGGGAAACAGATTTATCAAAAGACAAACTAGACAATGTGGAGGGTCTTAAAACACTACTACACATACAAAACACACAACAACGAGGGTAGGGAAGGGAAGAGAGAGTTGAAGAGTAGCAATTTCACTGGACTTAACACTATTTAGCTCCCCCCCAGGCCGGTTGGCCTCCTCAGACTAGAAAATAACAAAGCTAGCTGTTCTTCCTACTAAAACAGTATTCAATACCCAACTAGCCTTCTTCCTTGTAAAATAGCCCAGCATTGTTTGGCATGAGCCTATGGCATTAGTAGGGAACCTCTCCTCAAAGAGGAACCCTGATCTGTCTCAGCTCCCTGCTTTCATCTAGTTAAATCAAACATATGACTCATGGGATGACATTTCCCAACATTAACCAGGTTAGTATACCCCATCTCTGGGGTGTGAATGACTCTGCCCTTGGGAGTAATTTACAGTTACTTACGGCTTTTTGCATTCCCATTGCTATCAGGACTAGTCACTGGTTTTTCTTGAGTCCCCCTGGCTGAAACCATCAGGCCTTAATGCCCAGGGTTAACCCTTCCTTCCCCAAGGAGCCATTAGCTGGTTCTCTGTTACATTCCTATGTGAAAGTTAAGCACTGTGATTTCAAATAAGGTATTCCTTGGTGAATTTAGCTACCTTCAAGCTGTTCAGGAAACAAAACAAATATACTAGCGTCTGTTCCCAGTTAGCTTGTTGTAGTTAGCATGTTTCGTCTGGTAGTGCCTCTTGATATTGAATTCCTTGAAAACAGCCACAGTCTCTTGGCAAATTAGGCAGACACAGTTGTTTCATATTTCAGTGAAAAAATACTCCAATTTCCACTTGTCCTGGAAGCGGCAGCCCTTGCTGTCAACTTTCCTTTTTTTAGCTACAGTCGCCATTTTAGAAATGGGCACACAAGGGTCACGCGGCGAGAGTGCTGACTCAGGTCTACTGCCATCTTCTGGTGAAATATAACCACCAGCCTTGAAGGAGCAGGAGGCAGCAGGGGACAGCTGCGGGAACCGCTGTGCGGTGAAGGGAAAAACGCCTGACCAGACCCTGATGGGCTACAATCGAGGGTACTTTGGGAATTGGCAAGAGTGCTCTCTCATCTGTTGGCCTACATTTTTGAGGCCTCATGAAAAACAGGAGAAGTTCTAGAAGAGAGGAAGGTGGCATCAGTGGTTCCAGTTTTCAAAAATGGTAGCAGAGGGGATATGGAGGATTACAGGCCAGATAGCTTTACATCCATTCTGGGAAAGACAATGGAAAGGCTCATAATAGGGAAAGCTCTAGAAATCCTAGATAGGAATGGGTGGTTGGCTGCCATGCAGCACAGTTTCCGTAAAAACAGATCCTGCCACAAGAACCTTGTGGAATTCTATAAGGTTGCAAGGCAGTTTGTCAGAGAGGACTTGGTGGATGTGGTTTACTTAGATCTCTGTGGATTAGTGCAAGGTCTTGCACTTGGGACACAGGAATAGGTGTCACAGGTACCAGAGAGCAGCATTTGTGAAAGAGATCTTGTGGATAGCAGGCTGAACATGAACCACCAGTGTGATGCAGCAGTTAAGAAGGCAAATGCCACCCTTAAATG